TCGATCCCTTCTTAACATCAAATTATTTTCAACCGGGGGATCAAAATCCTCAGCCTATTTCCATTATAACGGAATATTTAAATTAAAAATCAAATACTGGACCTCGTGTAAATAAATCGTAATTGATAAGTAATATACATTTTTAAGAATTGTCTCATCCGTATATCCTCTCATCGATATCAAATCTTTCCCTATCGGTCGAGGATTCAATCTTTTATCGAAGCGCACGAACACACCCTGTCCTTCTTGACACGCGTTACATTCGGCGTATCAACCTGTCAAAAGATGTATCTGGGTGTGAAACCCAGTGCGTGCACACGTATAACGTACACCGAGCCACCGCATAATATACCAGGTGACCCTCTTCAAAGCGAACCACGCCTAGTTAGCCACCATTGTACGTGGGGAGGCTTTATGAACTGGAAACGAACGATCGCGTCCGTGACAACTTGATCGTTATGTGCCAAGGGTTGGATCCCGGATTCCATCGTTTTTCGAGGAAAAAAACTTTTTCCTGGAGACACGCGCGTCTCGCCACTTTTATTTATAAGCAGTGAAAGGGGGCACGGGATATATGGGAACGCGGTCGCGCGCCACCCATACGAGAAAAATCCTGGTAAACACGCGTAATCCACGGAGCCGTGCTTAGAGGCACGATTCTTAATCCCGATTCCACGGAATCCTGCGTCTACAGCCATAAATTCAAACGATCGCGTGAATGGTGGACCGTGAATATACGAGAAATCGAGTATTTTGTTCGATCGAGTCGGTGACTCGTTGCGAATCCAATTTATCATTATCAGAAGAATTTAGTTAGCCTGGCTTCTCGAGGGCTTCAATAACATTAACGTATTTAACGCTGCCACGTCATTTGTGTCGTATCTTCGAAACCGATTCGCTTCTTATTACTAATATTTTTCATGAAATAAGAGAGAAAAGTTTTCTTCTTTTATTTTCTTTCTTTTCTTTTTTTTCTCTTCTCTAATGTCGACTCTCGTCTTTATCGGGAGATTAAAATCAATACGCAAGAACGAAATAAATCATCGAAAGATCGTACTCCCGTTGGATTAATATCTAATAACGGTTACCCACCAAGTTGAGGATAGTTTCAATCTCCATAAAATCTAATATAACGATATTCTATCCGATTATACGCGCGATGTAATCCCGCGTGTCAAGCGGCGTGATTAAGTGCGGAATATTCGGCGTTGACCCGCCGCGCGATTTTAATTCATACTCCAGTGCCACGTGCTTCCCTCAATTCCCCTCCCCGTTTCAAAGTCAACGCGATATATACCGTGTCAACGATCACCATCCCCGTTTCTTTTTATTCTTGAATTCTGACGCTTTATCCCTCCACCTCCTCGTCCTAAACAAATAGAATCAGGAACCGCGAGTAAATATATGTAAAGCCACGCTTGCTGACCGTTTAAACGCGAAACACCATTTGGATGACACGTGCACGTTGGTTGAATGACGATATCGAAAGCAAATATTTGAAAAGTGAAACGTTCAATCGGGAAAGATCCGTAAATTTTGGAATTTTTATTGCCAATTCTATTTTATTTATACACGCCACTAAATTGTTAAAAAATAATTTTTCGAGATATAATTTCGTTATTCTCGCGCGTGAAAACATAATGGAACGTTAAATCATCGTTTCGTACTTATAATTCGACTTGTTAGCACGTGCTACTGATCCCCAACGTCATCGCGGTGAGTTAATATCGAAAGTATGATCGAGGGTGAACCATAAATGAAGAACAGGGTGGAACACTCGCGTATCATTGAAACGCGGTTCGGTTTTTTTAATTAAATAACGAATGATCGATTACTCTACCCTTATAAAAAATATACAATTCTTATTTGTTCTTATTCAGAAGAAAAGAAAAAAAACCAAAAGAAAAATTGTTTAAAGTTACAATCGAGGGCGCAGGGAATTCTTTAATTGCTGTCGCGATTAAAAATTATCTTTTTTCTTTTAGATTTTCCATCCTCTTTCCGCCAGAAAAACATGGTAAACAACATCGTTAATTCTCCAGAATCTGTTATCTCGCGCAATTGCCCGTTTCACGCGAGCTCGTCCCACGCGTGCTCGGATAAAAACCGACGAGATAATTTTCCTTTTCCTTTTCCTTCGCGGACATATGATCGTGAAAATATGCTGCGCGTAGTTTTTCCACGGTGATGAATGATAAAGGGAACGAGGAGTTTTCGTGTCCGGGCAATAATGTGATCGCGTCGGGGGCGGGGCACCGTGAAAGTATCCGCAGGGCACCCCGCCCATTAAACACGAACCTGTCGTGGAAAAAAGGTAACGAATCCCGTGGAATCCTCTTTCTTTTCACGTAAATCTTCCACGTGGATGGAAGAATCCTTTGGAGCAACATAAATTCGTGGTTGGTTTACTTTTATCTAATTATTCCCTCGTAACTCAACGCTTAACGAGCTGTATCCCTTTAAAAAAAAAAAAAAAAAAAAAAAAATCCAATTCAATCGACTTCGTTTTCTTCATACGCACGACTCGTCCTTTATTATTCGACCATTATTTTTCCTGATTACTGGACAAATTCGTATAAAGTGGTATCGTTTGTAAAATGTCAAATAACGAACTCTTTGTTGCAGAAACGATTTACATTCTCGATACTCGAGACCGTGGAAACATCCTAGGATCACTGACCCGAATAAAAATCGTTTATTTCCTTGACACCGATCATTTATTAAAGTTTGCAAAGAGATTTCGAAAACATTCACTTCCATTCCCTTTGCAAACTCATCTTAGCAACACTAAATCTAAATCTAATCTTTACTTCGAAATTGAAAATTTTACAATATACAACGAATAAAATCATCAGAGGAAACGAAAGAGGAGGTATATCATCGGTCAAATTCACTAACAACGCGACCTATTCGAGGCGGAAACGATACGTAGTCTGAAACAGATATCGCGTAATTAATCACGGACGCGTACGATGCACGGCAGCATCCTTAAATAATCCAGGAGCGGATTGGTCGAGGGAGGATCGAAGATCGGTCGGGATCAGATGCAAATCAGATTCATTAGCGTTAAGCCGGAGGGACGGGGATGGAAAACGGAGATTCTACGTGGAGACCCTTCGACGTAAACATCGCGTCAACCTCTGCCCCAGCTTCCCAAGGGTTGTTATTGCGCGGTTACGCCGACCCCCCCGGCGTGACATTCGTCTTCTTCGTGAATACGTTCATCCACACATCCTCTTGAAATTCTTCACGTTTTATCAAACGATGATGAATATCGAATATTGTATATAATTGAATTTTAATTAAATTTAAACTGAGATTCTAACTATGGAGACATTTTAATATAGATTTCGTTGGATTATTTAAAAACTTCTATCTAATTTTTCTATTCAAAGTTAGAAATGATATTTCGCCGAATTTAATACGCGGGAAAAATTATTATTAGGGAATGAACATCAAGCTTGAAAAATGATCGAAACCGATTATTACTGCGAGGAGAATACAAACATCACACTGTGTGGGGATCGTGTTCGACAGTTTGCCTGGGGAAGCGACCACGAGGTTATACTCTCGGGATTACAGAGATTACCAAGAGACTGTATCACTTTCGATCATTTTATGTTGATGCGTAAATGTGTTTCACACCAAGTTAATCACTCCTTAGTTGATCGTTATCGCAATCGTATCAATCCGAATGATTAATAAAAAAAATCCAATTTCCGATTTATAAAATGTTGTACATCTAAGAAATATTACTACGTCTTAACAAAAAATATTTAACAAAATACACTACCTCCTCTAAAATAATAAAAATTTAAAAATTCAATTTATACGTAACTTGTTAATTTAAAAAAAATCTACCAAAATAAATCATCTCCCCTAGAATAACAAAAAATTCAAAAAACAAAATAGAAAAAGAAAGAGACTTCAATAAAGACTTCACCAAAATGTAAAAAGAAGGTGAATAATTTGCAATTTCCTTTCCGGCAATAGAATAAGCGAACAGAGTGACGGAGTGGCCAACTTTTTTCCCCCCTAACGAACGATCGCGTCAATTATGCGAAAACCGGAGTAATGAAAGCGCGGCTCCGTGGAAACCAGTCGAAAACAAACTCTGAAAGGATCTTGGCAACCCCTAATCAAGTCCCGTTTAATAAAACGCCCGGCCCCTGGTATTCCCACCCCGCGAACCGCCCTCGGTAGCCTCGGTGTCGTCCCTTCGTGGCTAATCTGACTTTGATTAAAGTTTTAGCGACACCTAAAAGCGTGCCGCCCGATAGAAGCTGACTGGTATACACACGGAGAAAGGTGGCTAGAAGACCGGCCGACCGCTCGTGTAAGTCGATTTTTATTACGTTCCGGCGCATACATTACGAAGCATCGGTAGAGACACGTGGTAATGGGCTTATCGACGCCATGGGATTACGATAATAAAGCTACAAAGATGCGAAAACGCGCGACATATCGTTCCGTTCGCGTCTTGGACACGGTGTGGACTATGAATCGACAATACGGATCGAAAAACTTTTTGGAAATGCGAAAATGTATCAGCTAAGCTTTAATTATAGTTTTTGCCTAATATAATATGACGTTGGCGCGATGAATATTTGTATTATACGTAGTTGTAAGTAGAAAGTTTGAAAGAAAAATTTTTAGATAAATTTATAGCATGGAATACCGTTAACATTGATTTATGTTGTTATTTTATGTTCCTGAATCGTATGTAGTATGTTTACATGTATATTGATTGCGATGACTAATGGCATAATGACTAATGTGTTTATAGTATTTCGAGTCTTCTGTACATTAGATTATATTGATATTTTTTTATTTACTACTACGTAATAATGTAATATATATGAAGTTCGTATGAGAGAATAGAAGTACGTTATAAAGTATGAATCTATTAAAAAGGTGTATTATTATAATAACGTACCAGAAGACTTGAAATATAAATCTATGCTACTACGCAATAAAATATGTACGAAATTCATACTCACATTGACGAGGATATGACTACTTTTTTGGTTATCTTTTCCTTACTGACCTTTGTTCGTGTGACTGCAAATTCGCAACGCATATTCATTAATCACTTTGGACGTACACTAATTATTATCACTAAATTTATACTTTTCACGAACGAAAATAACTAACGCAATACTATACTACAATATCTAAAAAAATTATTCACAATATGCAAAAAAAAATAATGATTTCGCGCGTTTAATAATCACTTCGAGGCACGCAACGGCCATTTTCTTGTACATTGTACAAGTAGTAACCTCTAACGGCGAAATTTTAAACTAAAGGTTTTTGTTAGCATCAACCGACATTTTGTATATTAAAATTTGTCATATTTAAACAAACATAAAACATATAAAACATCGAATTAAAAACAAATTCTAAAATTAGATTCGAAATAATAATAACGAATATCGAAAAGGTAATTAGGAATGTTAAATAATTTATGTATATATACATATACATATAAACGAAATATTGATGTACATGCTACATGTTATTATAAATACGTAGAAGAAGAAATATATTGCCATTTATATCGTTTTAAATCATTTATTCTAGAAATAAATGTGATTAAAGAGAATAAAAAATATGTGACTCACCATTCGTAGATAACAGCTTGGCAGTGGATAATCTAACAGCTTTTCTTTCTTCTATTACCAGAAACTATACTCGTTCACGAATATAACGCGCGTATTTTAACAAACATTAAATATTAATTGTAATAACTACGATTAACTATTAGCACATATGAATCGAACAAAATTCAAAAATCGTAACTATTACATTATGCAATATTCGTGCACGATTTTATATTACGCAATAGAATTGAAATAAACTACAAAATAAAACAAAATTTTACGTCCGTACGTTTCGACGGTAATGGCGTAACTGAGGCTCCTTGTCGTGTATATAAACATTACGCGGCAGGTAACGCCTTAGGCAATGTCGATTACATCGATAACAGAGGTAACTGCGGGTAGAATCTCTATATACAAAAATAAAAATATTTTAATTTTAGATATTTATTATTTTATATTTTAAATATTGTAACTCTTAAATATATTTTATATATTTTAATAAATTTTGTAAGTAATTACTATTTCTCATTTATTTATTTACTAATTTATTAATTTAACATAATAATTCATAAATTATTTCTTAATCTTTCTTATTTTTTTAATATTTTTAATATTATTAATTTGATATTGCGTGTGATTAATAGTGATCTTATGTAAGAAACGAATAAAAATCTAATATTTTTTTGTATCTTATGTGTAATAAAATTCAAACATATAAATTCTAAATAAACGAAAGGAAAAAAAGTGAAAAGGAAATTTTTAATATATATATATATATTTAATATAAAGGTTCTTAAGAAAGTCGTTCTCTCAGCTTTGAATAAGGTAGCTTTATTTTGTTAAAAATATTACTGACATTATCAATTAACAGCGGAGTAACGAGTAATCGGAAAACGATGAGATACTTTCTTTTACACATCGTGATCGTTGAATTCCGGCGGTGTCGTCTCGTACTTTACAAAAAAAATGTTCTCGTTTTGCGTTAAAATATACATGTCTATATGCACGTGTTTTGTGTGTGTATATGTATATATATAAGTGTGTGCCTGTGTATCGTGAAAGGTGGCTGCGATTGAAATGCGACGAGATCATTGAATCACTTTATTGTCACACGCCATATCTGGCATCAGGGGTATCTTTTATCAGATATATTATACTGGATACAGTCACTAACGCTTTATATTTAATCATTCCGCGTATAGATTCCGCCATGAACTCCTCGTATCGTAGCAGTACTGCATTTCGAATTTTTTACCAGCTAGTCGAACCATTGAGATATATACAGAACTACGATTGAAAACGGTTTCGTGTCAAGGATCTGTAGCCGATTCTGTATCGATCCTAGACATTTCCCCGAGAACGAAAGAAAAAGAAATCGTCGGAGGAGTTCCCGGCCGAGTTCTTTTTATTCCCACGGAACTTTTTATCTAATCGTATTGTTTAAATTCTTTCGCCTTTGTATTTCTTAATTTTTTCTCTCTCTCTCTTTTTAACGAAAATGACGCACCTTTTTTCGTGATATCCCACGCTCTCTTCCTTTCTCTCTTCCTTGCTTTCTCGCCCGTACTCCTCCGTGTTCCTTTTCGAAATATATCCGGACGTATGTCACACAGATAAATTAGAAAACCGTCCCAAGCGGTTGACGCATATGTTTCGAACGGTGCGAAGTTGCCTCATTGATATTCGAGAATCAGAACCGCGTGATCTTACGATCGATATGTGCATCGATTCCGTCGCGAGCGACCCGCGCGGGAAACTATGGGAATCAACAGTATTAGAAAGTCACGTGATCGAGGCATTGACGAATTGGAAAAAGTCTATTTGAGATTCCTTAGTTCCGTCGAAATGATCTTATGGTGCAGTGTTTCTTTGTGCGTGACTTGTCGAAATCCATTAACAAAAGCAACGAATTCGAAGCACATTATTGATCGTATTAATCATTCGACGCGATTACAGGAATACCTATACTACGCTGGATCGTCTCTACGAAATTTTTAAGTAAGTAATGAATTTCATTGTGTAAAGAAATCGTTGACAGTGTCCCTTCGTTTTTAACGTTTTTCCTTTCATCTATCTCTCTCGCTCTCTTTTTCTGTTCTCACACTCGTTCTTTCTCACACACCCTATATCGTAATCGTAAACCTAAATTGCCTCTCTAAATTTGACAAAAGTGGTACCCCTTGGCTCTCAAATTTTCTGCATTCCATGTAAATTGTATTATTTACTCGTTCTATCTGTCTTTGCGATTAATTTATTTCTTTTATATTTTCATTATTACGCCCCCTTTCTATCTCGTTTCAGCCATTGTTGTTTTGTCCGATTCGATTATATTTGTTCGAAAGATTTCATTTTTTTTTTGTCTTCCTTCAATCTTCTTTTCGTTTTCGTTTAAGTTCATTGTAAGTATATAGGTACAAAGTTGGATATTAATTTGTTCGTTTTCGTAATTAATACTATTTGTATGTATATGTGTATATATAATATATATGTGATTCACGATGCGTGTTCGATCCTAAGATTGAGCATGCCTATGTACAAATGGGCATGGCAAGAGTGTGAAAATTAATAATTTCTATCTTGACTCTCTTCGCGTTATTTCTACACTTAAAACTTTTCAGCTATTTTTAACAATTTGAAATTAATAATAAATAAATTATGGGTTTCTTTTTATTTTATGTCAATTTAAAAAATTTTTAAAGATAATTTATTTAGTAAAATATTTTTAAAAAATATTAAAAAATATTTTAATATTTTTAATAATAATTAATATAAATATTAAATAACAGTTACTGCGAAGACAGTCAAGGAATTAAATTAGATCAAATCATACGAAATTAAAAACAATGATATCTATCATTTTTTTCAAATCCAGCCTGCTTGTTTTCATTTTTGATACGTTTACCTGTTTTACAATTCTTTACAAAATTTTTAACGAAATTTTCTACGAGAATTTATCGATGTTTTTAATTCTCCAAATTACCTAATAATGCAAGTGTAGAAAAAGTAAACTCGTTTTCCTCCTTCCATTCTTTTCTTTTTTTCCTTCGAAATTTCTTAAAACCGGCTACTATAAATTATAAAAATCCTACGTTTGTATAGAATATGCAGTATTTTATATCATAAGCATTAATAGTCCGCAACGATAGGACCTTCACGAAATTTTTTATATATTTTTTCATCATGACTATTATAATAAATTGTTAAAATTAAAGAATTGAAAATTTTAAAACTATTTCAATTTCGTCAAAATAAGTTTTTCCTTTGTATCGTATTATAAAATGAAAATTAATAAATAAAAGAGAATAATTGCAAGAAATTAGAAATTAGAAATCGAACAAATTTCGCGAAGAATCTTACAGTCGCAAGTAACCGGCAGATTACAAACTGAACATATTATTATAATTCGTAGTCTTGTATTTTTTTTTTTTTTTCCCTTATCGAATGTTATTCACTAATACAGAGTTTATATTTTGTTGTGTGGTTAATTACGTACATCATTGTTCCAAGAGTCTACTAATATAAGTCATGCACTTGCAAAATGTTTTTTTTACTTAGAAATCGTCTTAATAGTAATTTTTTTTTCTTCGTTTGTTCATTTGATAATTTACGTTACACGTCATCTGATAGAACTCTACGTTTGTGTTCGTTTTTTTTTCTTCGTTCACGAGTAAAAAAGCTTCTTTTTTTCGATTTTTTTTTTTTTATTTTTTATTTCCTTGCTGCACGTTCTGTCCACTAAATCAAGCGTGTTATAGGTATGATAAGATATCGCTTCTTTTTTTATACATCCTTCTCGTAATAATGGTCGATCGATTACCCGGTTACCAGATGGTTTAGCCTATCTATAGAATTTGTCGCGAAAGAATCGAGTTCCTCACTATTTTTTATCCATCTCATCTCAATTCTGTTTTCGAAATTAAACCTCACATCGTGATTACGTATCATTGTTTCGCTCGAACTTGCTTAAACTATATCTCTTTGGAATTTTGTATAATTTTCACGTGGTAATAGCGGGTAATACGATAGAGTGCAAATGCAAGAAGGAAATAGATAGATTTGTCGCGAGAATTTAAAGCATAGTAGCGTGACACCGGATTTTATAAGCGTAAAATATGTGATGAAATATCGATAATGAAGTCACTGACATAGAAAAACTTTCTAAAGTTCTAATTTTAATATACGAAAATTCTTATTCAAAAGTTCCGAGGAAAAGTATAGATTGATATACGAAAAAATTAGATTCGGTTGCAAATTTTAGACCCTCGTGTGGTACCTACTATAAGTAGCTATTCTGCAATATCTCCGAAAGAAAAATGGTGACTCTATTTCAGTGACGTCGATCAATATCCAAGGAGTACCTTTTAAAGAGCAACAAACGAGGAGTGAAGCGATGTAAGGGAACGAACTGAATTTTCGTGATGAAAAAGGACGACAATAACCGTGTTTCTCAACGAATGCGTATAACGTGCAATCCAAAAAAGCAGAACGTATTTGTTCGAAGCAATTAAACCGGCAGATTTCTTTTTAATCTCTTCGACTCGAATGATTCCTCTTATTCCCAATTTTTCTCTACGATCAACTTTGAATAAAAAAATTTCTTCTTTTCTTTTATCCCAGTTTATCCACAATTTTTTTTTTCCCTCCTTTCCTTTCCTCTCTCCTATCCCCATTTTTGCAAAGAGAATTCACATATTGCAAGCACAATCAGCAAAAAGAAAATTACATTCGTTAATCAAGTGTTTAATGCTATATAGATAATTATCTACGTACACGTGCATGCTCATCGAATTTTTGTGTGTTTCACAAGTGACCAGACAAATGCACAGACAAAGATCGAACACATAACATGAGAATTAAGAGATATAAAATCGATTGTGAGTTTCACGAATCGCGCCCCCCCCCTCGTTCCTCGTGGACGATGGCGGGCGCCGTTTCCGCTTCCGTTCCCGAAAGGTTCGTCAGCAGTGATGCGTAATGTTAATTCATGGATCGACGGTTTCCGTGCCGTGTCTCGTTTTAGGGGACGAGGCGCGATTCCACGGAGGATCCGTTTTATATGCAAGAATTACGTGGGCGGTTCGTTCAGTAAATATTCACGTTAAAAAAACGAGCGTTCCTTTGAAAATCGAGTGCAAGTCGATAAAGAGAATAAAATATTCTAAAAGGTACATACGGTTGTCCCCTTACGCGTAACATCCGATTCGTGAGGTTATTCGACAATTAAATAAAAACTAACATAATCACAATATATGACAGTCGATATAGTTAGCATTTTACTTTTTTCTCTCGCTCGCTCATACTCTCGATCTTTCTCTCTCTCAATCTCTCTCTCTCAATCTTTTTCTCTCTCAATCTCTCTCTCTCTCTCATTCATTCGCTCACTCACTCACTCACTCACTCACTCACTCATTCATTCATTCATTCTCACTCGCTCTCTCACGCAAAATAGTTGAAGATGGGCTACTTTAACGTTCAACAACAATTCGCTAATTCACGATATTTCTCGGCCTCGTTCCCGTTCGCTCTCGCGATACGTTCGAATCCACGGACGATTTTCGACGGATACAAACGCGATACAAAGCTCGAATCAAAGTCCCGGTCTCGTCTCGAGCTTTGTCATTATTATATTATATTAAATAATTATTATTAGTATTATTATTATTATATTTATTTATATTTATTATTATTTTCTTTTTTTTTTCCTTTTTTTTTTTCTCGAACGTGATAGTAAAAATCGATACGCGTTGCGGTTACGCCGCGATCCTTGAAATCGCGAGGGGAACGGGATGACGAAAACGCGACGGTCAAGGCAAATTGTTCATCATTTTCTTAATAAACACTTGCGTGCATACGTATCGCGAATTCATATATATATGTATATATATATATATATATATTGTTATAATATTTACAATAAATAATATACGCTCTGACGATGATATCTCTTGGCTAAAAACTTTGACAACGAGTTCCAAGTTAATTTCTCCTTCTTTCTTTCTTTCTTTTTTTTTTTTTTCTTTCTCTCTTTTCCTTTTCTTTCTATAATTTGTTCATTTGATTGTTCATTTGGTACTACGACTGTCTTTTTTTTTTTCTTTATATACATATATATGTATATATATATTTCGTGTCCTGAAAATCGTCACTTTGGCGTTCAACACACGAAGCGTTTTAAATTATGTACAAATATATTGTAAATGTCTTGTCGCGAGTACGCGGATAATATATTATTATTATTATTATTATTATTATTACTTAAAATTTCGTTAAATGTTTCACAATATTCGCGTCACATCACCGTTCGTAACGGGTTTAGATTCGAACAATTTCACCACTTCACAAGTTTCTCGTTTCCCTCGTATCACTTGAACATCGAACATCGAATCACCACCGTTCGGCACTCCTTTCTCACAGCACACCGCGTTGAAATTCGTATCGATCTCGTATCGAGTATCTCTGGGTTGCTTTCACTGTAAAGGAAACGAAAAAGGATCAGTCGGTTGTTCGGCTCTTGACGCGATAATATATATATATATATAATCCATAAAAACGTATAAGAGGAACAATAAGAAGTAGATATAAATGTGGAAGTAGCTACGTAGGACGTATGTATGTACACAATTAAAAATAAGAGATTCAGAGATCGGGGAAAGGGTTGTTGCATCTTTGGAACATTTACTCGGGGTATTTTTGGTTGGTTTCTCTTAGTCTTATTTATAAGAGACATTGAAGAAAACTTGGACAAAGGACTCCGAATACGGCAGACTTACCTTTTATCTTTCTTTTCTTTCTTTTTTTTTTTTTTTTTTTTAAAAGATAGAGGCATTTAATTTATTAGATCGAACAGGTTTCGCACATTGGACTGAAATCGTTCAAGAAAAAAAAGAAGGTATTTGCGATAGGGTGCAATGTTGTGCAGAATTTTAGATCAACAAAGTAATCAAGCAATGTTCTCTACGATTACTCGTAGCTGTAGAATAATAAAAAGTCAAAAAAAAAAAAAAAAAAAAAGAAAAGGAATATAGAAAGAGGAAAAGAAGACAATCAGATTGCGAGGTGAATACGTCGACGAGAGAAAACAAATACAGAGATATTCAGTAGTAAAAAAGAAATATTCATAGTAAAAAGAAAAGTAGAAGCTGAAAAAATGTACGATTGACCATCAATACAAGAAAGAAATTTAAAAAGCGATAAGGTATTTCAATGTAAAACGGAAGACAAGGGAAACTTTTAACAGCACGTAGATTTCACGCGGATACTTTTTAAAAATATATTCAAAATGATTCAAACTCTTCTCTATATATAATGATCGAACGACACGAGAAAATAAATAGAAGAGAAATTCATTGCCAGGTATCCGCGTGAAATCGATTTCAAATCAATTATTTAGGAACGATGCGTTGATCTCAAGTGCGTACCTAAAACTATCTGGCGCTCCAGGAACATGGCTGCTATCTCTACATCTAGTCTACAGACTAGTGGCTCATCTGATATGCCGTACATGATATGTGATGTGCTAGTGGTGTTTCTAGAAAGACATGTCCTCTCGTACGACCTTTCACACTTTTCCCATTCTCGCTGTTACCTTGCAAAGTAAAACACACTTTTCTCGTTTTTCTCGTCCAACAACGCGAACTCACTTGCCCAAAATTCTTTACCCACGCAAACTTTTCTCACTGTATATTTCACCATTCTTCTCTCGTTAAATACGATCATCGATCGTGATTTACTCTTTTACCGTATTCAGAGCCGACGGTTATCGATGATATCGATACCATTGATCGATTGTCGAACAATTGAAACGCGATATTTCTTCATGATGGAACACGATGAAACGAATATCGCGTGAAATTTCCATGAAAATCTTTATCCCTTAAACTTACGCGTTTCTATTCATCTTAACGATCCTCGAATATTCGCGAACAATTATATCTATATATATATATATATATAGATATTCCGTTCGAAAAAAAATATATGTATATATGTGTGTGTAGATTATATCTTCAAACGCGATCAAGAATATATTCGGTATTTTTTTTCTTTTTTTTTTCTTTTTTTTTATACTTTTTTCTCTCTCTTTTTCTTTTTTTACCCCCTTTTTTTTTTTACTCTTTCCATCGTGGGAATTATTATTAGCTCGAAAAGAAATTCGAAAACTACCGTCGGATTACACTTAAAAGAGAATAGCAGATGGAAGAGCTGTTTAAATCTTAAAGGACTCTAAGGACGTGGCCGAGGATCGACGGGATAAAGCTAAGGATGGAGGTCCACTGACCAGGGATATGTTGCCAAACAGCTTATACCACCCGAACACCATCTCATTGAGGTTCAGTTCGTCCAACACGATCTGCGCAATGCCCATGAACACTTTTTTCCCTTCTAATCGGCCGTAATCACCCCATACTGTCACCTGTAATCAACAAGGAAAAGAAAGGGGCGATTAAGAAAAATCTAGAAATCTCTTAAACCGATTGGAATCTCTCGATTAGGATTATCATATCTAATAAAAGAGAAGAAGGTGTATACTTGCCTGCAGTATACAACCCCGGCAATTTTCTCTGAAGGCTAACGACTGTTGGTAGAATGGATCCAACGTTTTCCTGGCTGCTGTCGTTTTCGCTTTCGCGATGCATTTCTTCCCATTCACCAAATAAACCTTCACGTAGGAAGCTGGATCGATACGAAAAATGATTCACGATTAATTGTAAACAAATTAATTATTGTTTCGGACACGCATTCGATACGCTTTATAAATTCTTTTAAGAAAACAACGAAAATAAAATTTTGCGCGTATCTGGCTTCATTTCAACAAAAATCAATATATCCTCGCTTCGATTTTTAAATTAATTCGTTAAAAACGAAACAAAAATAATGCGAATAGGATCCAAGAATTATAATAGATCCAAGAATTGATTGAACGAACCTGGAATGGCTTTAGTGCCCTGTTTCGGTTTAAGGTCTTTGGCACGTATGACCTCCACTTCGAGGAAGCCTTTCTTCTGAGAGAGCGAGAGCTGAATCTCGCCAAGGCAGCGTGCACCGAGTGCCTGCCTCCCGACCACTTGCCCAGGCCCAAGATCTTCGATGAAATCTCTCAATTGGCCGGTTTCGCCTGACATTCGTAGACTGGGGGACCAACTGCAGTTCCCAAAATCGAAACGTTTAGCGAACCATCGAAAACTCTCACGAGAGTATTTATTAAGGCGGGTTTGTTAAAAAAAAAAAAAAAAAAAAAAGATCGAACGAAAAAGAAGAAAAAAAAAGGAGAGTAAAAATTAGAACGGGGGGAAAAAATTGGTCTAACAGAAAGAAAGTTTCGAGGGAATGCTCGATTCACAGACTCTGTGAATCGAAGATAACGTAATATTTATTTCATTCATTCCATCTTTTTTTTCGATTTGTGTCGATTTTCTAATTTTCCAAAGTTTATCAATTTGATGTTAATCACGAGAGAAGGGAAGGGGGATCAAATAAACGAATAAGAGATCGTTCCGCGGGAGCGAGGGACGATTCTCGCAAGCCTTCGACGTAAGTGCGGAAAGAGAGAGCACATCTCATTCAATTTGTATGGACAAGAAGAACTCACACGCTGCGAGTATATAATAGTGTTGGTGTAGCGAGTAAATATATATATATATATATATGTAATAATATATATACGAAGAAAATTGTAAGTTTTGGAGAACTAGTAGCAGGCTGTCGGTGCATGCAGTCCATTCTACGAGCGTAGTAGTAGTATACCATTCAACGATAATCAGTTTTGCCCTTTGACACGATTCGCTTCACCGTTGATATTAAGATTTACGTATAGCCTCTGATTATCCTTGAATCTGACTAATTGTACTATGTCTATTCATGCTTCATCAATTAACTTAATCCAGAATAATATTGTTCTCTTAACTTACGTTCAGGATTTACCTTTCCTCGTCTTATTGTCTATAAAATCTTAGTCCTTAGTTACCGCAACACTTTAGCATCCTCGTTGCTATATCGCGTGAAACGAAAGTTTTCTTTATACATAGAGTAAGACGATTAACATTTGATATATATCCATCTTCCTGGGTGTTTCGTTATCTTGTTAATTTTTTTTCTTTGTTTTTTTTTTTTTTCGAAGAAAAAAAGTAGAGAAATACTTGGGATCATTAGCTGCGGATGACGTGTGGTTCAACGATGAAAGACTGATGATTATTCGTCTGCTAATATACATATATATATTATATACGTATTGCGCTCGATCGAATCAGAAATTAATAAATATGTCCAGAATAATAGCGTTCTATAGATATATATGTATATAAACAGTTTTTAATTTTTAAGATGGGTTATAGATAAAAATATTCTTCGTCGTGAATGAAAATGATGAAAATGAATATGATGATGGAAACACGTATATACACAGAGTGTGTGCGCGGTTCACATACAATGGTGCTTCGACGATTATTTAGCCAAGCAATAAGCCAAGACGACGATAACATCGACAAAAAAAAGAAAAGAAAATGATAACGATCAAGATCACATTGATATCACATTGAAATATAAAATTACGAGAGAAACGAAAGAAACTTAAAAATAAGTGACATTCGTACAGGCTTCCATTTCTTCCTTCTCGTGGCGAATTACGTTAACTCAAGGAACAAAAGAGTTCGCATGTTTCGCACACAATAATGGAAATGATGGTTGTGATGGTGATAAATGATAAAAAAGAAGGGAAGGGGTAGTAAAAGAAGCATGAATGAGCAAAACATCGATGCTGGGCATACACATCAGCTCAATCACACGTCGAAAGACAAAACGATCCACGTTTCACGTTCGCGATCTCCTGTGCAATAAAACAATAAAAAGGTTCGTCCGAGGAGCACGGTGAAGTAGAAAGAGAAAGTCAGAGTCGGATAGAGAGAGAAAGAGCAGAGTCATTAGCAGGGTTAATCCAACACTTCTCCTCGAATCAATTTCAAAATCATTGATCTTTTCTTCTTTCGTTATATTTAAAGCTCGCGAGTAACCCTGCTGGAAAGATAATAATAATAGATAGATTGTTGAGACAGATAGAGCGAAGAGAAGGAGACGGAAGAAGACAGAAGAGAGAAGAGAAAGAGACAGAACGCGAAGAAGAACAGAGAGACAGACAAAGACAAAGAGAGAGGAGGAGAAGAAGAAGAAGAAGAAGAAGAAGAAGAAGAAGAAGTAGAAGAAAGAGACAGCAAGGAGAGTCTCGCAGTTCCGGTTGCAGAATCGGTCGGTGGAGGCCACTACTTACGAGCTTCCTTCGGAACTAGAGATCGAGTTGAGACTTCCGGCTGTGTCACTGGCCACCGATCCCGACTGTTTCCCGGATTCAAAGCGCTGATATGGTACAATCTCCTCGGAACGTTGTATGCTGCTCGGCGTGCTGTTGCGTTTCCGGCTCGATAAACCGGCGCGTGCCTCCGCGACACCACTTCCGACGAAGACCCCGCCGACACTGCATTCTGCGTTGTAAACCAAACAAGAAACAACCGCTAAAGCTATAATCTTTCATTTTCATCCCGGTATCGCGTCTGCCGTAGCCCTTTCTTTTCTCTTTTATCCAGCTCCAGGTGGTCGCCGTTCGATTTTTCTTTCACGATTCTAATCACGATTCTGATCACTTTCTCTCTCCTCACTCTCTCACTCTCTCTCTCTCCCTCTCTTTCTCTCTCTCTTTTTCACTCGCGCTCACATGACTCGTTCGAATTTTCTCTCGTGACAAAATTAAGAAAAATGATAAGGAGAGAAAGGTATACACACACATACGCGCGCGCACACGTACACCTCGTGATCGAGAAAAACTCATTTCAGTCGGATATGAATGATATAATCGATGAGGGTTGGAAGGCAGACGGTAAGGAAGGCTTGCCTTTTTTTTCTTTTTTTTTTTTTTTTTTAGTGTTGGTCAATTACCACGTAGAAAAAGAAAGACTTCGTCAACCTGTGTTGTCGGGTTAAGCTTTGAGATTCGATGATATGGATGATCCCACACAACGAAGCCTGCAAAAGATCTCGTTCCTCGATGGGCTAAACGCTCGCTGTCTGGAAGAAAGAATACGATAGGGCAATGGTTAACGGCCAACGGAAATTCGATCGTTTCCCAGAACTTTTTTTTCTCAACTCCGTTCTCGAGCTCGCGTTTGCAGTCAGAAGCGAGCAAAAAAAAAAAAAGCGTCACAAGCTTGAATGTTTTCAAGTGTGTATCTATCTTCAACGAAACGTCACATCTATGGTTCCGTTGTTGAAAGTGGTGGTCTCGCTGCGCCAACTACGTATACATTCGTACGTGTGTGTCTTTGCGTGTCGTGTTCGTGTCTCAACACAGAAACTCGTGTATGAGAAGGGGAAGGGGGAGTGTTTGATCCTACGAAAACTCGTTCGTTTCTCTTCGCACGAATTGGAAAGAAATACATGTGTTCCATCAAATTTTCGAGAAATACTTAAGAAGTGTCCGCAGGCAGAATGTACAAGACTGTGCGCTACATTCAACGAATCAAGTTTTTTTACTTGGTAACTGAAAAAAGAAAAAGGATAAGAAGAAAAAAAAAGGGAGAGAGATATCGAGATATGTATAATCATGTATATACATATATATATACATATATAAATACACACACATATATATATATATATATATATATATATATATATATATATATATATANTATATATATACATATTGTACGTATATGTAGAAATATATGCGCAATAAGAACACTGCAGCGCTCGAAGAACATCAAGAAACGAATAAGCCGTAATGGGTGAAGCAATCCTCACCCCAAGCACAGCTGCCTCTAAGATAAAATAAATGGAAAAAACGAACCAGGTGGTCAACTTACCTACCGTGGACCCGCGTTGATTCTCGATTCGTCACGATCAGACAGAGATTCGCAACAAGTTGACCACGTGTTTCATTCTAAAATGTTGTAAAAGCTGTACAAAACAGACAGACACCGCGACATCGTATTTGCACCAGCATCAATCCCGGGCCGGCGCTATATATATATATATAGGCTACAAAATAATACGAATAAGAACAGCCCGAAAGGAACAAAATGATGTACTTGAGCGGCTGAATACGTAAGGTATTCTTGAGCGGCAGATACAACCTTTCTGCTCTATTCTCTCTCCGCCAGATCTCGATGAACGGTCTTCATCGAGCTCGACTCGGCTCAGAACAACACGTGCAACAACTCGTTCCTCTAAGAGTTACGTATCGCTACTACGTGGAAACAGTCTCTAATTATCTATAGGGTGGGGAGGGGGGAGTAAACCGGGAATCGTCTCGCGGCTTTGATTTTTTTCAAGAAACGTTATTCTCCTCCTCAAATTTCGATCGAATATTCGAGGAGAGACAAAGCATCCAACAGAGGAAACAGCCGGGAAACGTTTCGCGTTTCACTCCCATGCACACACACTCTCTTTCTCTCTCTGTCTCTCTTTCTCTCTTTCTCTCTCTCTCTCTCTCTCTTTCTCTAATGCAAAAACTTCTTTCTAAAGAGTTAATTATGTGCTGCGTGTTAGTTTGTATATATATATATATATAGTTGTTGGCTGGTAAAGAAAAAAAAATAGATCGTAGATCGTTGCTCTCGTTCTTCTTGCCTCTTCGTGCCTCTCTGCAATTTCTCTGTACTCACATTTCTCTCGAAGGCTCGATGCTAGGCACTGCGTCTCGCATCTCGCGCTTCGATCTCCTCTCCTCGACCGGACCGAGTTATGGACCGCTAATTATCAATTATTGGAGAGAGAGAAAAGAAATCTATCGTCGCGCGTTACGATTTTGAAATTTGGATCGCGAGTCATCGGGGGGAAGTTAGTCGAAAGGCGAAAAATCGACATTTGACGACGTAAACGCCACGTCGCTCCCTCGCTCCCACGTAACGGAAAAAAAAAAAAAAAANGGAAAAAAAAAAAAAAAAAAAAAAAAAAAAGAAGGGAAGTAGCAAAGGAGAGGTTGAAATCAAAGTAGAAGAGAGAGAAATAATTAAAAGGGGGAGGGGGGATGATATATTTTGCAGGGTGTGTTCGGACCTGTCCCCGTCGCCGCTACCCTCGCCGTCGCTGCTGGCGGAACTCGGTTGTCGTCCGCTTCTTCCGCTGGCCGTGTCCTCCGGCAATACCTCCTCGCTCCTATGAACTGTAAACGAGGACTTGCCCTTCTTCCCGAATCCTAGCCGCCGTTTTCGTCCTTCGTCGCCCACGCATGTACCACCAACAGACGCACGTGGTATGTTATGGTTTTTGCGTGACGTGACACAGTTTTTTTGTTGTGATTGTAGTAGTAGTAGTAGTAGTAGTAGTAGAAGTAGAAGTAGTAGTAGTAGAAGTAGAAGTAGTTGTAGTAGTAGTAGTAGTAGTAGTAGAAGTAGAAGTAGTAGAAGAAGTAGTTGTAGTGATGGTGGTAGTAGCAGATGTTGTTTTCGCAGTGGATGTGATCGTGTTGTTGATTTGCATATACGGTATATATGCGATGTATATGCGTTTTTGATGCGTGTGTGAAGAGATTTGATTTTTTTTTTACTCGTAGCAAAGTGTGTGGTATATATATATATATATATATTTCACGTTGAATTTGATTTGAGTATATTGTTGCGAGGTTTTTGCGTACAATAGTAGGAGCGATCGTTCCAGCGATCGATGGGGGGTGATCCGCGTCGAGTGTTGTCCCGTGACACGATCGCGCGAGCGACGATATAGCCCCGCCACGATGAGAAATCGTGCAGGTGGGTGCAGATCGATGACGTGAATGGTCCCCAGCGTCGAGAGATAGTCGGTTGGTAGAAGTAAAGTGTGAATGTGTTCATGTCGAAGAGAGGCGGATAGAGATGAGGAGGGATGGCGGAGAAAACAAGAATACGATTAGAATGTACATACTGCCCCGTTTTACTGGGATTTTTTTTTTTTTTTTTTTTTTTTTGTACATCTACGATGCGCTCTCGATATCGTCGGGTGAGATACGATTCGCGATTCCTTCGATTTCCTCGGCCTCGACCCTTCGATTTCTCATCGAAGGATGGAAAATTCGAATCGAGGTTTCTCGAAGGGGGGGGGGGAAACGTTTTTTCACGTCTCGCGTGTACGTGAAGTGATGCACAAAAGAACGAAGCGATGTAAAATTTTAAGAGAGGAGGAAATTTTTCTTGAAAGCAACGACGCATATAGCGAGAGCGCACCGTAGGTCTACTCACTAATGGCGCTAAACTATTCGCTACGCTATTTACTCGAGGGACTATCGTTATATCATACAAAGAGACTGACTAGATTTAAGATGGCAGATAGAAAGATAGAGATAGAGAAAGAATAGAAGATCTAGAGATCGCGCGAGTACAAGTATGACACAAGTATGAAATATATAGAAACGTTTTCTTTTCTTTTCTTCGCGCGACCGCTCTCGCGTAAATTATCGTTTATAAGAATATTGCCGGAATGCGAAAAGTAACGATATAAAGTATCGCACGCAAAACGTTCTCTAAAACGTAAAATCGGAAGAAAGGACTAGTGTGACGATGTGTTACCTGTAGCGGACAGTTGACTGGTGCTGTTACTCTTCTTCCCCAGACCTGACTGATACTGCACCGCGCTTCCCCCACCGCTGCTACTTCCACTTCCGCTTTTACTCCCGGGCGAGCTCTTGCGACCCCTTCTCGAGGAGTCCTCGACGTTCAAACCGATCGCCGTGTCGCTCAAACTACCGTCTGTGAAACAACGCTCGCGTGAATACGGCGAATCGAACGCGATCGAAACGAAGAAGGAAACGCGAAGAAGGAAAGAAAGAGAAAAACTGGAATCGCACGTTCGAAAGAGAGAGAGAGAGAGAGAGAGAGAGAGAGAGAGAGAAAGAAGAAAAACGAGAAACGGAAGGGGAGGATAGAGAAGAGGAAAGCGGCCGCTCTCACTCACCGACTTTCTCGTCCTGTGGCGCGTCGGTGTTACTGAGACTCCTGGTGAACTGACCCCTTTTACGATCGTCGTGCTCGCTATCGGGTGGCTGGCTCCTGGACGGTTTCTCGTACGAGCCCGACTGACCGGTGTACTCGCTGCTTTCGGGCACGGAGGAGGATCGGCGATCGTCCCGGCCGTCGTCGCGTTGTCGGTTGACGGCGGCGGCGGAGGCGTCGTCGGCGACGGTTTTTTTCCGGGAATGCCGTCGGATGGACGACGACGGGGAGGGCGTGGTGGCCACGGTCGAATCGTCGTAGTTGTCGCGCGGCGACGATTTCGTGTTTCGTGAGGTTTCGTGGTGATCGACGGCCCGTGGGTGGTAGTTTTTAGCAGTGTCGGAGGTAGCGGTTTGGGAATCAAAGAGACTCGAATTAGCGTTACCGGGGTGGGGTGCTCGGTTACGGGGCCTACGCGGATCGCACGGGCCAAATCCGCAGTTCTCGCTGCACTGGCTCTCGCTCTCCATCGAGTACTCGTAGTACTCGAGGGTGTCGCTGATCGCTACGTTCCTCTTACTACCCTGCTGCTGCGCCTGCTGCTGACTCGGGTGTCGCTGGGCCTGCTGGCCGTGCCCCGTGTCCTGCTCCTCCTCCCTCTTCTCGAGCAGCTCGAGATCCCTAGCCTCGGGGCAACTGCTATTTCGCCTACGATAATACCTATGCCTCGATTCTATCGACGGCCTCCTCTCCTCGATCTTACGCGCCAACCAGCCTGCCGACCTACCTAACTCGTAGTGACCCGACATCGCTAACTCCCGACACTCCGGACAGCTGGTCTTACGCCTAACCCGATACTCCGATACTCCCCGCCCCGCGCGAGGGGGCGGCTCCCCGTACGACCCCGTGTAATGCTCGCCGCGGCTCTCCACCACGTTCTCGTAATCGTACCTCGATTCCATCGAGTAACCGTCCCGAACCTGTTCCACGTCCTGGTAAACCGATCCGATACCCTCGCTCCGAATCATCGTCCCTCGGTTCCTCTCGCGGAAACAGTCGGCGCACACGACCGTCTCCATCGAGCCGAAGTCCTCGTCCGAGTCCAGGATGAAGTTCGTCCTTCTTTCTTCCTCTTCCTCCTCTTCTCCCTCCTCGCCTCCCTTCCTCCGCGGAGGGTCGTAGTAACGGAGCTCCCTCGCCTCGGGGCAACTCGCGTTCCGTTTCCGGCGATGCAACAGACGCCTCGCTCTCTCGGCCCTCTCCGACGAGCTCAGCTCCTCGTCCGAGCGTAGAATCGGCGTCGATTCGGCCCGTTGCAGCATCATCCGCTTGCTCTCGGAGAACGTTGGAACGGCGAGCAACGCGTCGCTCGACACCCTCGTTCGATACGTCCCTGCTTCCAAATTCTCGTAAATCCCCGTACCCGCGCTGCTCGCCTCCTCCCTGCTACTTCTCGTCCCTTCTCGCCTGCTTCTCCTCCTCCTTCTACGGGGGAACGTGTTCTCTTGGTAAGCGGCGTCCGCCCGCCCGTATTCCGGCCCACTGTGCGCCTCGTAATCGTACTCCTCCGCGGAACGATAATCGCGGTAATCGCCGTCCGTCGCGTACTGCGACGACCTCCTCTTGCGTCCGCCTCTTCCACCGTCCCCTCTCTCCTCTCGTCCGCCGTAATAATCGTCCTCGTACATCTCAATCGCGGCATCGCTCCTCGCAACGTTTTCATCCTCGTAATCCTCGTAAGTTCGTCGTCGTCGTTGTCGTCGTCGTCGTCGTTGTTGTTGCTGCTGCTGTTGCTGCTGCTGTTGTTGCTGCTGCTGCTGCTGCTGCTCGTAATCGTCCATATTCCCTCTGTCGATGAACCCTTCGTCGTCTTCGTAACCCTCCACGTCCCATTCGACGTAACCATCGTAACCACCGTTCTCCAAATTCGCTCTTCCTTCGATCGTCGTCCTTCTCCGTTCCGCGTCGTAACGCTCGAAATCGGGGACGATTCCTCGCGGAATCGAGAAACGGGGGATCTTCTTCTTCTTCTTGCTGTCTCGGCCACGGTATTTGTCCACGCTCGCCTCGTCTATGCTGCAGTATATGTGCTCGTTGTCCGCGTCCAGATTCCTCGCACGTTTCTCCGCTACGTCTCTGGCGAAGGCGGAGGAAGGATCGTGATCGCGGAGTTGGAACGCGGTCGACTCTCTGTACTTCCGTTTCGTGGGATCCTCCCGGCCGAGGAGGAGCGGATCCCTAACGAAACCGATCGTCTGATCGTCGCTGCTGAACGAGTTCTCCTCCGATAATTCGTAGGAGCGGTAAGGCTCGACAACGGTAGCGCCCGTTCCCCCCGCTCCCTGCTCGTCGAAACGCGGCATGTATATCTCCGTCTCGCCGCAACTGAACTCGGAATCGTAACCGTAGAACGGTTTGTGATCCTGTTTCAACATGTAATCGTAATTCTTCTCGCGATCGAGCAGAATCTTGGTCACCTTCTCGTCGCCGTTCGAGTCGAAGTACGATTTGCTCTGATCGCCGAGGGCCGGTATCTTGTCGCCGTAACCCGCGTCGTTGATGGCGAGATTCTTCTTCAACTTGCGGCGGGCCGTCCTCAGGCTGTCGTCGCTGAATATGTTGCTCGAGATCGTGTCGTACTCGAAACTCTTGGCCCTACGCGAGAGCATCCCCGCTCCTAGTCCGAAACCGGCGTAACGATCCGCGTAGGTGTCGTGGAGCACGTCGTAGTCGAAGCTCCTAGCCTTCGAGAATAAAAAAGATCTACGCGGCCGCAAGCTAACGTCTAGATTCCTAATGCCGAGATCGTCCGTAACGTCGTGCAACCCTCTCGAGAACGAGTGGTGCCTAGATTTCGCCCCTCTTCCACCGCGATCTTGCCAGCTACGCGACCGTCTACGGGTACCCGCTTCCAGTTGATAGGGCGACGAGTATCTGTCGCGAAACTTCTCGATGAGCCGGTCGTTGAAGTCGACCTGAAGGCAATCCTCCACGTATATCTCCGGTATACGTTTCTTTGAGCTACCCGTAAGCTCCTCCGGCTTGAGCATGTAACCTTCGGAGACGCTGTACTCGCTGGTCTCCGGGCTGTAATATCTCAGCATGTTCTCGTCGACGGTCTGCGACCTCGTGAACGGCGTACGCATCTTTCTGTACAACGAGCGCACCACTGCGGACTTGCTCCGTACGAGGGGATGCGGGGTGGGATTGTGCTTGCTGGGGTTGTTGCTCCTGGGCTTGGTGGGATTGTTGTTCGGACAGTGACATTCGCTGCAGGGTACCCTAAGTCTGTGCCTGCGCCTATTGCGCCTAGGGGGCAGGGGCATTGGGGATATGACACCGGGTATTAAAACGTTTTTAACTGTCGGTCTGCAAACAATGTTTTTCATATATAGAGTTTTAGCGCTTCTGCGATTACACATGTTAAACGATTTCTTTTTTAGCCCATTCTTCATTTTTTTTCTTTTTCTTTTTTTTTTTTTTTTTTTTTTTTTCTTTTTTCTTTTTCACAATTTTCATTCAATGATCAAAGAAGGAGAGAGGAAAAAAAAAAAAGAAAAAAATAGACTCTACTCGCGCGTTCGCGATCGATCGAACGCGTTCTCTTTCTCCTTTGCTTTATCACTTATTTCCCCGATTTTTCTTCTCCCTTTTCTTTTCTCTTTTCTTTCCTCTTTTTTCTTTCCTTTTTTTCTTCACTTTTTTCTTTTTTCTTTTTTTTTTTCAAGCAAAAGTGCAAGTGGTAAAGAAAGAAGAATTTTTTTTCATCCCGAGAAATTTTGTTGCATTTTGTCACTCG